GGGGGGGGGGGAGATAAGAGACAGTCACTGGGGTTTGCCTAACTAGATGGCTAGGTAGTCAATGATGACCAACGTCGTGCGGACTTATTTGTGCGGCTCTTTGTGATCATCTACACAACGCGCCAAGAAAATAATCCGGGGACATGTATGAAAAACGAAAGAGACCGAGTAAATAACTACTTGAAGAAAGTACTCTGCCAAGCTAACCACGCTCAAGGTCCAGTCCACAGTTTTGTCACCAGCAATCTCTCTATTCCAGATGCGCTAACTCCAGCGGTTTTTCAAGGCATTCTAACCCGTACTGACAAATCCCGTGTTTCAACTGTTCGTTGAACAATAAAAAGAGGACACTTTCAAAACGACGCGACATGTAAAACACTTAGCATTTTCGTAACACAGGGTCAACCAAATTCCATCTTCAGTGATGTACAAAATGGGGGTTGTTTTGCGTGCTTCCGAGTAATCAGACCGTTGTGTTATAAAAGTGGTCTTTGAGCGCTATCTGTTCTTCATATTTTGTGACCGCGTACACAGAAATTTTTTTGGAATGGAAGATCAATGTACTATTATATTCAATCTATTGTTGATAGCGCAAAGTTCGTTTTGTTTGTTGCTGTCCGAGATCCCCACGGAAACTTGATGTGTAAGAAGGCTCTTGGCCCTTAGACCAGTGAGTAGCTCTCAACATCGCTGCTATATAGGGCATTGATCAGGATGTTTTGTGTTCATTTTGCACACCGTTATGTTGGTACACCCCAAAGACTTGTTGAGCAATATGAGGAGATCATTATCTCCTTTTGATTTAAGACGTTTCCAGTAAAACGAACAAAATATCCAAAGAATGTTCGTGTACAGGCGTCTATTTTATGAAGCACGAACTTTCCTACATGTCACTTGAGTACATACGCTGCTTTGTCCTTACAAACCAGGGGCTTGACTTTTGCTTCATTTGGAGATCGTTGGCATAGAAAATCTCTGGCCGAGACAACTAACGTACAACCTGAGCTCGATGCCACCGCTGCTGCTCCCTAGACGTGCATCAAAACTTTCAAAATTCGCGGGGGACGCAAAGCACCATTTCATACAGAAATAGACCATCTACTGATATCTTAAAAAAAGTAGAAACCGCTTCAACCTAGCACCATCTTTCTCAAACATGTCCCAATTTCAGTTGTTCTTGTCCGTGGTCGTCGCTTGTTTAGGTGTTGCGTTCCGCGGTGATCCTAATTTATGTGGTTTGTGTTATTTTTCCAATACTCAAATCAGTTTTCTGAAAGAAACCGGTTTCTTGCTTTTGCTGAGAAACTTCCTTTTTTTCTCCAAGAGAGTTTTGGACCATTTGATTCTTGCACCATTTTTTGGTGCTTGCTAGCTTCTGTTTTTGGGAAATGCTCAAGTATACCGTACGCCTAGAGGCCCGCGGTGAACAAAAATATGCTCATTCTTAAATACATTGGATAATTCGTCGGTTTCGTAAGGATTTGATCAAATACCCTTGAGGCTCATCTAAGCAAGCAGTGAAAGACAGAAACCCTCGTTTTTCCGGAGTTTCGAAGGAGCCACATCGATATCCAACTGTCAAGTGAATTGGTTATAAGCTACTAGTGAGACTTCAGTAACTGAAAGTGTGAATCAATTTCAATATACACATTTTAAGGTGGCTGACATTTTGATTATTCCCATACTTTCAGAGCCAAGCTGTGAGGTAAGTTATCGCAACTAAATGACGAAAGGGTATTCGCTTTGTATTGAAATATTTTAAGTGACACTGACCAAATATCGCTGTCGTTGTGCCGCAAGAATTTGCTACCATCCATCGCTACACACCTGCATGCGGATCTGGTCTCTTCATCGAAGAACCGAAGTAGACAGACTTTTCATGTTGTCAGACAAAGCTGCAACAGACAGTGCTGCGAAGCAAGCGTGTGACAAGCTTATTGCTACCGGTATTATTGCCGATAATAGACATGATGTATTGGTATGCGCGGACGCCGAGTTTCACGCGTACAGCCACTCTAGTATCATTTAATTATAGCTCCTTTTTGGCGCTCTGGGTACACTGAACAGTGAATATATTCTTGATGGAGTTTGTCGACGCAAAAAACATGTGCATCTACCCCTATACACAGCGAGACAGACATATCTGGGGATACAAACCGAGCAAGCAAAAAGTAACCGCCATACCTCCTGTCCATATTTGCCAAGTGCTGCTTTCTGAACCATAGCTCGTATGGTAGCGATATGTGTGGATTATCCCGCGTATAAATCAGTACCGAATATTTGGGCGGACAATACTCAGTTCTCTGGATGTTTTGGTGGACAATATCATGAATCAGTCATACGATCTCATAAATAATTTTTATACAGGCCTTTAAGTTTAGCAGTTTGCGGCTCAGGTATTCTTATAGACAGTGAAAAGTCTGTGTGTATTGTTACAGATTGGGAAAAAGCATTCCACTGCTTTTGTCAAGGGCTTTTGCTTGCTAGAACAGGCTAAAACTAATAATACAAAGCGAAT